CCAGTCAACAAAGCGCACGGGTGGAGAAAGCCAAAGAAGGCTGGATCTATGAACTCTTCCGGCCTCCTTATTTTGGAGGACGCAGCGTCTGAAATCAAACACACCCTTGGTGATCACAGGTTACTATAAAACACAGAGGATGCAATTGAATCTAAATATCTAAATTGTGCATTCCTTAAGATTTTCTTTTGTTTTCCTCCCGCTCCCTCCCCATTCTTCCTTATTTAAAGTTCCAAAAACAACATCTATAAAAAGCTTGTATGAGATCTGTCTGAACAGTTATGGCGGTGGAGCTAAAGTCTAAACAAAAGCCAATAATTGCTGTATTTTCTTAAGATGACTTTTGATCAAAACAAACCAGCAGTGTTAACTCTTTTTTTTTTTAAACCGCTAAAGTTGTGAGTTTGTCCCATTAGCATGGACGATTTAACCCATTATCTCTTTCATGAGCTTTTCATTACAGCACAGCTCAGTTAGCACGAGTACGCAGCATCATGGGAATGTTATGCAACCCGTCTTAACATGGTCCTGTGCAGACAGATTCATTTACTCTTTGCTAAAGAAAGAAAAAAATAAAACATTTACAGCTTTATTTATTCAATACCTCTGAGAGAATTAAATATAAAAATCTATTTAGGGTAACATTAACAGAAGTGTCATAAGTACTCTTTAATTTAGTAAAAACACAGATTCCAGCGTAAAACAACAAAAAAAGACATAAGAGGAAAAAGTCCAACTTGAATTCCTTTACCTACATAAAAAAATACATTTATTACGTTTTACTTATGTAAAAACTTTACAAAAATGGTTCTATGTGCAGAAAGTAGGTTAATTTCCCTCCTTTGCCCATTGTGTTGGAAGCCGTCCTCTGAGCTGGATATTCAAATAGAGTGAGAAAAGTAAAAAGTATTGAAAAAAAAAAAAACTTTATTAATAAGCATTTATGCTTAATTGACGCCTCTGAGCAGTAATAAGACCAGTGAGTGATTTTTAATAGGTTGTACGTAGGTGCTCTTCATGCCTCCCCCTTCAGGGTTCATGCCCTCAGTAGCCTAGAATCAAAGCTTCACACCAAAAGCTAAAAACCAAATTTAAATGTTTGACCAACTGCTGCTTAGCTTTTCTAATTTACCTTTACTAGAATTGAAAATAAAGCCTGGGAACAGTCATAATCCTGTTAAAAACCGAATTCATCAACCTTCCTGGAGGAAGGAAAGTCTCTTCCCGTGTGCAGAGAGCTGAGTAAACACGCTCGCTGTCAAACGCACTCATCAAAGCTGCAGGCTGACTGCAAGAATGTGCCACAGTTCAAAACAACGCATCCAAGATTGCATGTGTTGCGTATTGACGTTCTTCCAAGTACGCATGTCTCGTATGGCACGTTGCCTGGTTCCCGCTGCGGTATTCCTCTGTGAGCTTCCTGGAACCCACATGTTGGGTGGCATGGGGTGTGTGTGGAAACGTTGGGTGTTATTTGCCTTTCAGCTGACAGACTAAAGGACAGATTGATGCGGTAGAAGTGCAGAACAGCTGTCCTGCATTTCTGTCCTGCAATCAAATTATTTAACTCATGAGAAGCATCTTTAGTACCAAGTTAATGCTAATTTAATTCATAGTCAAAAATCTGCTTCTGGCAGGGGTTCAGTCCATTCCTCAATTGGCGAAGGGCTTCAACTCATTTGTGTTTATATCCAATATTTCTCTTTTTAAAGTCCAACCGNTGATTATCAATAGTGTTCAAATCAGCTGATTATGATGGAAACTTTCTGCCCCAAATATTAAGTCATTAAATTCAAATGCAAGTCACTTACAAAAAAAAAAAAAATTAGATTTTCTGGATATTTTCTTCACTCACAGTTAAGCACATATAATTAATATCAAAAACTTTTAAAAGGCTTTAAAGGAAGAAAAAAAACTGAAAATCATCTACATTCCATAATGCTGCGTTCACACCGGACGCAGCAGGCGCAGCGAGTTTACATGCAAAGTCAATGGTTGACGCACGTCAAGGCGCAGCAAAAGGTCCCGCAGCGCGTTTTGAGCAGCAGGAGCAGAGCGTCTAAACAGCTGAAGCAGTGCGTCGGGATCGTTTAAGCATCTTACGCGCTGCAAACGCGCTGCTGCTCGAGACGGAAAAATAGAAGTTTTGCTGCTCGACGCGCCGCATCAACCCATCAGAGAAGCTGATCTGGGAGCTCCCACCACAACATCGTGTTAGTATTCTTTTTCTTGCTTTATATTAGAATTTATATTTAAGTTGGTTATTTCTTTTAGACATGTATTTTCTAATGTGTGCACACTTTAGTTAATGTCTGTCTGAATGGTTTATTTTCACTTGTTCTTTTGTTTGAGGTGCTGCTGATGCAAACCAGCTGGAGGAGGAAACCTGGAGCGTACCATTTTTGAAAGACTGACGGGGGAGACTTCAAGTTGTTTTCAATTAGTTTGTCACTTAAATACTCACTTATTGTTTCAGAGAATGTTTAGTTTTGTATTTATTGGTTCTTTTGTTATGTTGTGCCGCCCTCATGTGGTAGACTTGGGTTACTCCTTCCCTTTTTAAGCAGCCTTTAGTTCTTTGTTTGCAGGTCAGTTTTTTTGTTTGAGTTGGATCCTCAGTTGATTCATGTTATGTTGTATTTAAGTTATTTTGTATTGCTTTTGAGCCTTTGTTGACCATTTTTGACACAATTAAATGAAAGAACCTTTTTAAATTTTGAACACCTTTTGTCCTTATTTAAGTTTGGTCCCTCACACTCGGATACCGCTGTGCGGTTTGATGGAGGAACGTGACAAAAACGGAGGAATGACGCCACCAAAGAGTCTGCGGCTTCAAAATGGCAGAGAAGAACATAAAGAATCTCAAGCGACATCTGAGGTGCCAACATGCTGCCATATGGAAGAAGGTAAGGAACGTGTGTGTGCGTGCGAGCGCACACGCATGTGGATGTGTGCGTGTGCCTCCCTGTGCCTGTATCTGTCCGTCTCTCTGTCATAGAAGAAAGACGTTCTACTGAAACGCTGGATATTACACTGGAGAAAAATCGAAATCTAGATAAGTAATTTTTTCTTAAAATAAGTGCATTTGCTCTTGTATTGAGGAGGTAAAAGAGACATTTTGCCAAAGGATCAAGACAATTTACACTTAAAATAAGAAAACACAATTGCATTCTCATATTTCAAGTGCATATTCTCTAATTATCTTATTTTAAGAGTAAA